TGTTGCATTCAGGAAACTTATTTTATTCATGATCTGCAACAGATAACCAAGATTATGCAAGTCATGACACAATCTATATAGCTATTGCAGTGGAAGGGTAAAGACAAACCTGTTTTTGCAGATGCTTTTGGTTTTCAGACTGATTTTCATACGGGGGCATGCACTGCAGTCATAGCTTCAAAAAGTGAAAAAAGAACTCAGGCATAATTTTGTGTTTCTCATCTTCATTCCCAGTTTTTCATAAGAAATGAACAAGGACAGACAAGATAAAGTCGGATCACTGGGGAAGCTGAAAGCATGACTCTCACTGCTACAATCTCTTCTGCACCCTCCCTGTACCCTTGCTCTGTCCAGAACACTAACCCGTATAAACCTTGTAATTCCTGAGCTGACAGACTGTCATGACAAGATCAGCCTGGCAAAATAGTGCAAGCAGGAAAAAACACTCCCAACCTTAAATCAAATATGAATTAACCTTTGCAAACAACGCACATCTCAAAATTCTCACCTTCATGCTACCAATATGCATTTTTTAATTGTTAAATACTCAAATGTTCACCAACAAAGACTTTGAGACCATCTCTAGCAAGCAGTGGAAAGATGTGTAAGGGTCCAATTTTACCAGCCAACAATCTTCCAAAATACCCCAAGAGATACTTGAATCTGAACATCTCTATCGATGCTTTGGCACTTCTGAATAACAGCCATCCCAGTGACAACTCACCCCCATGTTCTACCTCATACAGCCAACATGGAAAAAAAACACTCTGGAAAGTACTAGTGTTTTGTAGCTTTTCACTTCCAAAGCTAGTTGAGCAGCTAATGGAAAGAAATATTGTGCTGTTCTCTTTCTCACTAGCATTTGTTGAAATTTCATGTTCTTCAAATGGGAAATTTCAAGGTTTTTCTGAAGCTTCTTCTAAATCTATAATAAAGTTGTTTGTTTTCTTAAAAATGGCTCATACATAGCACTTTTTGTATGCAGGTGTGAGACCAGGGTTGATCAACGACCATGTATTGGTTACCCAATCTGGAACACATTAGGAATGCCACCACATCAGTGTAGTCTGGCCTGACCAGTTTCTCCATTTTGGAGATACTAAGACGACAACCCACCACTAATGTTTTCCTGCTCTTCCCAGAGTGATAAGGAATTATGACTGAACTCCACATCAGAGAGCTGGCAGGAAAAAGTTTCTTTGCATTATAAGCTCTGCCTTGAAATACACGCTTTTAGTCTTCTGGGAAGCAAGGCTTTAAATTGGAAACCCTGACAGATCTTTAACTGCAGCAATACCAAACAACATCAGTGTAATTTCTCTTGAAAGAAATTGCCCCTTTTTCTTCTCTGGTTTCCAGCTTAAAACCTTTCATTGCTGATGCTGTTGTCAATCTTATCTAGTGACCTATTTAACCAAAGCACAGAATTACAGAACAGAATTTTATGACAACTACAGAGCAGGCTTTGACACTAACAATACTCAAGATTTTGTGAACATGGATTGTTTTTAGGGCTTGGTCAGAAAGGCCACCTTTCCTTCATGTAAAAAGTCAACAAGCCACCTCACAGGTTTTGCAAATGAATTTCTCATAGCAATTAAGGGAAAGAAGCTATATAAACATGATAAGAGGTAACTAACCACTACACACCATTACATTAAGGAATAAGAGACCTTTAACGCACTGCTCTGAACACTTCAGAAATAAAAAATACTGTCTGGATAGCTACATTCTTCGACTTTCAATGAATCAGTGCTGTCTGCAATCCACACTTGACCTTTGCAGGGGGCACACAACTACACACACAGACAGACACCCTCAAACCAATTATTTGTACTGGAAGCTCGAAGGGCTCTCTCTCACAGTATGGGTCTGGACCGATATTAACACAACACAGAACCAGGCAGCCCCACAGGGAGTCTCCTCCCCCACTCCCCCAACAACTTTTGAAAAGACAAGAACCTGAAATCCATTGGGAAGATGCTTGGTGCAGCTGCTCTGGTTAAAATACATGGCCCATTCAACTTAGCAAGGATTCTTCTAGTAATGATAGTGGCAGGGAGCACATGTAGAAAGCCACCACATATAAGGCACATCTGAAAACACTGAGACACTACTGTGGATAAAAGCTGGGATAACTGACCAGCAATCTAAAGCCATAAGGGTCACAAAACCGCCATCACTGTGAAAGCTGGACACTCAATTACACTTGGATAATATCGTGTAGGATGGGTAAAAGAAGCCTCCTTGTCGTGAGGTTTGTTGGGTTTTATTTGGTTGGTTGGTTTTTTAAACACAAATGCTATGCTTCCTGAGCTTCCTCCATCCCTTACCAGTATTGCTAGCAGTTTGGAAGGGGTTTGTTCTGTGGAATTAAATTCTTCCATTGCACTGACCCAGCTTTACTTGTGTTTTCACTGTAAGACAGATACCCATTCTCTGTGTGGCTACAGAACAGCAGAGTTTCCAATGCAACATCTGGAACAGTCAAGTATCAGCTCTATGTTTTCAGATACCAAATTTAGTTAATAGAGATATAAAAAGCATCCACGAACATACAGCTTTTCTGAACACAATTTGTTGCCATCAAGTATGTTAAAAAAGCATCTTAAGCATGCAATTATTACATATAATATCCTATGCTCATAACATTTTGTGTAACCATCCCAGTGCACTTACTCAAATGTTTTTAGCTCTTAAAAATCTATTTTTTGTAATGGTATCAGTAGCATTTGCCAGCAGATATTAGCATACTCAAGTCCTGTTGAAGTCACAGGGCTTTTATCATCATCTTGTTGTTTACAAATTTTATTGTCATTCATCATTGCAAGTCATCAGCTGTACTTGTGGCTGAAGAAAATGCTAACTCAGAAGGCCGAAATCATGATTTTTACTACCAGCAGTGTTATGCTCTCATGATACCTCATGGATCCTGCATATCCAGTATCTACAATCTTCTCAGTTATTCAAAATATTACAGGGACTGCTAGGTGTGGGTGGGAACGGGGGTAAATAACTCATATAAAGCAAAAATACAGGCAATACAAAGTATTTTTTTAAATTAGGGAATAGGAATACATCTTTCAATTCTAGTATCTCTGAAAAACATAAATAGGTTTCTGCAAAGCACCTGGCAGCTTAAATAGTGAGAGCTGGTGTGCAAGCAGCATGAAATCCCTGGGCCTTCCCAGTTTGTGGGGATGAAGGGAAGCAGAGGACTGGTCAGATTCATTGCCAGGATTTTGGGGGTTTTTTTAGTTTTTCAGCTTAGTAACCATTACCTTTTAGGAAAAGGGGAAAAAAAAAAAAGATTAGTCTGAGATTTTTCGGGACCATGCTCTCCACAAAAGGGAACGACAGGTGTGACTACATCCCCTCTGACAGCTTCACGAATCTAAAGCACAAGCCACAACCACGTATTTAGTGACCTACATATAGCTTCTTTTCTGTATAAATTGTACCATTTTAATTTGGTCAAGCTAAGTAGCTGAGTTCCAACTGGGTTTCAGAGGACCCTTAAGGATCAAAGCCTGACATCATTTTTCAATGCCAAACAACAACAGCCACCACAAATTAACCAACATTTTCAGAACTATCAGAATTTTAAAGAGTATATCTGCAGTTGGAAAAAATCTTTAAAGTAATTTCTAATGTTCAGAAGCAAAGATGTTTTAGAAGTTAAGGGTTAAAACAAGAACACTGGCAACACTTGCTGGGTGTTGAGTAGTTTACAGAAACAAGCCTCTGAATGAAGACAGCCAGCAACATGATGCTTTAGGTCGTATGTAAAAATAAAATGAATGCCACCCATTGCCTATTTAGAGCTTAAAACGCTTGAGCTAAAACTTCAAGCTTGGAATGCAACGCACACAATCAGAGCAGAAAATTTAGTGGGTGGACAGAATCTTTTCTGCCTACCCTTAATAAAAACCACGCTGCTTCTGCCGCAGCTGCAAGAGGCTATCCCTTGGGCATTCCACTAGAAAGCACAAAGCAAAGTGTAGGCTCAAAGTCAAAGAGACTGATGCTAACAGATAGTAGGCTGGAGAGACTTCACTCTGTTTCCACAAGGAAAATTGCTCCCTGCACAAAACAGTACAGAAAACTCCGAAAGCTTGAGATCTGCTTGTGTGATACAACAGCATTGAGGAAAAGGAAACAAATGGCAGAACACTGACAGCTCATCTCAAGCATCAGTGACCGAGTTCTTGTCCCTGTGGTTCAATCACTCAAGTTTGACTTAAAGGCAACTTGAGAGAGTAGAAGACCCACAAAGTTGGTGGGTATGCAGCACTAAGGAGACCAGGAGATAACCACCACACAAACAATCAAACTATCACAGCCAGACACTCCTGGCTAATCCCCTTACACCTTCCTGAAACTCAAATACAAATGCAGAGTAAAATGCAAAATAATTAATCCACTACCTCCAAAGCCATCCCTACCTATGTAAGTTGTATTACAAACACTTTAGTTTTTATACCATTCTTATGCTCAACTTCTGAGATTTTTACACACCCCTCAACTACCACCATTTATCATTTTTTTCCTGCTTTTTTAACCCACCCCTTACTCTCGTGCCCTCAATATGATTCCCCCCCTTCCATTTTCAAAACTTGTTACCCTCAGTATTTTCCCTTAAATACATTCTCACTATCTCGTTTTCCTTTTCATTCATTAGCCTGCTATTGTCTCTGCTCCAGTTTAAGTGCTCTCACTTTAAAAGAGAGTTTTTCAACTTTAAAGATCAGTTTCAAAAGCCATTTCCCAAACACAACATAGACATCAAAGCAGTCCGGCTTTATTTACAAGTGCTCTGTACCACCATGAAATGTTCTATCGGATTGTGATTATTCATAGAAAGGCACGGAAAATTGTTTCAAACATTTCTTTAAACAGAAATAACGATTCCTTCCCCTGGAAACAGGGGCTTGCAATTTACTTAGAAAAAAGCCTCCCTGTTTTTCTATCTAAAGTAGAACCGGGAAAGTCAGGCCTACCTGCACAAGCTGCCCCAAAGAGTAGAGGGTGAGTTTCTTCGGGTCTATGTAGAGAATCTCTCCAAGCTCCCGATAAGGCTTCCCAGTGGGGGTGAAGTGTCCCTGAGTGAATTGCTTTTGCCTCCTGTGGTAGTTTTCCCAGAACACTTGTTCTCTTGGACGTTCACCGCTTCTGTAAATAGTTCTGCTTCTAGCCAAGACCCTTCCTTCCTTCTGAGCAAAGGCAGGCAAAGCCTGAATGCACACAAAATCTCGAGGATCCAAGACTTTAGTGACTGCCAGCACCTTGATTCTGCTGTTCTCAGGCAGATCTGGTACCACAGGTGCCTTGTGTCTGCTGCTCTTAGGTGCATTTGGTACCACAGGTGTCTTGAGTTTGCTGATCCTACCTGCATTTGCTGCCACAGGTGCCTCAACTCTGCAGGTTTTAGCTGCATCTGATACTGGCATTGTTCCAGAATGGGAACCTTGGTGGTTTTACTCCCCAAGTTACTAAAAACTCTAGTTTCCCAGTCATGAAAACACGCATCTGCTGCCCAAACCCTGAAGCAAGTCTGTTTAACTTTCTAAAGGGTAGCCCAGCGGAAGCATTTTCTGCTAACTAACACTACATGAGGTCTCATTCCCCTCAAACAATAGAAATAAATCCTGAGGGGCCGGGACACCTATAGACTAACAAATTAATACAAACAGAACTTGATTTACACCTATTTTCCACAACAGCACAACCTCCCCTGCCCGCAGGCCTCACGC